TTTTTTTATTTTTAGAGAGTGTAAGGGAGGGATGGAGAGAGAGAGACAGTGACATGAGAGAAACACATCAATTGGCTGCCTCCCCCACATGTCCCAGCTGGGACCCGGGATCGAACCTGCAACCAAGGTACATGCCCTGCACCAGAAACAGAACCCGAGATGCTTCAGTCTGCAAGCCGATGCTCTAACCAAAGGGACACGCTTTCTTTCTTGTTAGGAAAGCGGATGGGGGATCAACTAGAGCCTTTCACCCGGGGGTTAATCGTCTCCCGATTTGGTGGTGTCCTGGTCCCAGTCCTCCGCCCCCTACTGTGTGAGCCTGCGAGCTGGTCCTGGGCCCTCCTTCCAGCCCTGAGCTGTCGTGGTAGCTCCGAGTTTCCCTTTCCGAGATGTTGATTCTAACAAGTTTAAAAAATTGAGTAGACGTCTATAGGAGGATGAACCAAACACGAAAACCTTACCTCTGCTTCTTAGCTGCTAACCAGGAGCCGGGGGAGTGCAGGTGATATTTAACTGTAACGCGGACGCCTCCTCGAGACTGTCCCGCGCTCAGGCCTCTCGGTGGTTGGCTTTGTGCCTGTGAGGTCTCCAGATGGTACCAGGGAGATGCCTGTCTTCTCCCTGCACTGCCTTTCTACAGATGAAAGGATGATCCAGTTAGGTGTCCTCGCCTTGTTTGGCCCTGTGTTTTCTGCAGACTGGGGCCTTTTGGTTGGCGACCTGATTGGCCCTCTGGCTTAGGGCTTGGGAGGCTTAACAGTGACCACGTCACTCCGACCTGACCCCAGAGACTGGGGCGCAGGGCAGCTGACTCCACCTCTCTTCAGTCCTGGTTTTCCTCTGCACACACACCTGAGCCATGAGCCCCAATACTTTCCCCAGGGACACCCCTGTCAGCTGCCTGTGGCCTGTGCCGTTGGCCCCCTTCCCTGTGTCCCACGCTTGTCCGGCCCCCTCCCAGCTTCTCCCTGGACACCTCCTCTGCTCTGCCTGCCCGAGTGTGGCGTGAGCACCCTGGGGTCACTTAACACCATGCTGCTGCTGCGGGCGCCTCCCCTGCCTCCTGACCGGACTGCCTGTCTCCCGAAGGCAGGTGCCCCGTCTGATCGTTTTTGCAGCCTGAAGTCTCGTCAACTTGAAATAGGTCATCTCTCTACCAAATTGGACTGTAAAAGTCTCTGGACCTGAACACTTGATCTGGACTAGCCCTGCAGGCACCGGCAGGACTTGGGGAGATGGTCTAGGTGACTTGCAGAGCTTCTCTCACAAGCAGCACTGAAGGGACAGTATCTGTCTCCCCCCCTTGCTCCAGGGCCTGGCTGGAGCTGACTTCTCAGGGAGGGACGACCAGGGGGTCCAGGTCCAGAGTGTCACTGGGATGTGGGAACAGCCCACGTGTTGCATATGAGACTTTCGGAGAAAACCAGCACGCAAAGGGTGTGCACCCTCTGATGGAAAACTGGGTGCTCAGTGCTCGGATCCGTCCCCATCAAACCTGTGTGGTCATGACGTTTAATTCCCCAGGATGCTCTCAGGCTCCTACGTGGCAGGGGCCCTGTAGCCAGAGGTTGACCAGTTGTCTGAAATCAGCCGAGCCGAGTCTCCAGCTGCTTTGGGTGTCTCTGGCCTGAGGACCTCAGAAAGCTTAGACTCTTGCTCCCACCCAGCCCAGCCCAGCCCCTCCCGTGTTTTCCTCTGGCACTGACACCTCTCCTTTTGTTTGCTCTGCAGAGCTGGATTACAGACACTCCTATGAAATTGAATATATGGAGAAAATCGGCTGCTCCTTACCTGTAAGTCTTCCTCCCTCCCCCAGCCGGTCAGGGCACTTGCTTTCCCAGCCTGTCCTTTGTCGGGACAACACAGCAAAGCATCCGGGGAACTCGGATCTCAAATCAAGGCCCTGGGTGTCCACAGTGCCTTGGGTGCCCGGGAAGGGTGAGCCGGGCTCGGGTCTGAGGCCTATATTCCATCCACTTCAGGTGGCCTTTATTTTTTTTAATTCTTGCCCGAGGATAGTGTTTCCATTGCTTTTTTAGCGAGAGTGGAAGGGGGAGAGAGAGAGAAACATCGATGCGAGAGAGACCCATCCATTGGTCGCCTCCCACACGCGCCCCGACTGGGCCTGGGGATCGAACCTGCAGCCGAGGTACGTGCCCTTGACGGAAACCGAACCCGGGACCCTTCAGTCTACGGGCTGATGCTCTCGCCTTGAGCCAGACCAGCCAGTGACTTCCCCGGGCTGAGGGGGAACTAGTCAGGTTTCCTTTAAGAAGCGGGGGAGCGGTTTTGTTGTTTCTCGGGGGCACTGTTTTCTGTCGTCTTTAGACCAGCTGCCCCGTCACTGAAGAGTGTCGCCCCCACGCGTTGAGGGGTTACGACGGGCAGCTGTCTCCGTGGCTGCCTATCTGTGGCCTCGGAGCACCTGGCCCCGGGCGCGGCCTCTGCCCCGTGCTGGCGTCCAGCGGGGCCCTGAGCCCAGTGGCCGGCGCCGGGCAGTCCCATCGCCGCCTTTCTCTGCGTTGCTGCTTCTCCGCTGCGGCTTTAAGCCAGCCGGTCTCGACAGGGCTGCGCAGTGTGCTGGGTCCTCATGCGCGTCCCCCCGTTTGGCTGCGGGCAGCACCCCGGCTGGGCTCCTCTCTGCCCCTGCGTATCCCCAGTGGCCGGCACCGCTGCCCACCGGCGCTCGGGCCGACATGCAGCTGGGCCCCCCCCGCCTGCCCCCCTCTGTCCTGACGGCGCCCGTCGGCTCCTCTGCTGGTGGCCTGAGAACAGGGAGGGCTCCTCCGGGTGACGGTGCTCTTGTCGTCTCTGCGGCCGGGCTGACGTGCGGCTTTGCTCCCACAGCCGGACGACGCCGCCCCGAAGAAGCAGGCCCTGTACCTGATGTTCGACACGTCTCAGGAGAGCCCGGTCAAGTCTCCCCCCGTCCGGATGTCGGAGTCCCCGACGCCGTGTTCCGGGTACGAGTTCCGCCACGAGAGGCTTACGGAGCAGGCCAGAGGGTTACGGGGCCTCCGCGCGGGTTGGCGCCCCCGTCCCGGCTCCGTTTCGTTTGTGACTATTCAGGCGGCTGACGTTTCCGTCTCTCGGTGCCCGCGCGGACGCGTGCGGGGGGTTCGTCACCGGCTGCCCTCAGGGCGGAGGCGAAAGCCCGTAACAGCTGCACGGGAGCCCCCCGGTCGCCCCAGTGCTCACACAGCTTTGTAATTTGCCCCCTGGGAAGGCAGCGTGCTCAGGACTCCTGTCCCGCGCCCCACCTCTCTGGCTGTGTTCCCTCGTGCAGGTCCCTTCACCCCCGGTGCTGTCGTTTCCTCGTGTGTCACACGAGAGTGACAATGACACTGAGCCTGTAGGGGTTTGAGGGAGATAAAACGGGGCTCTCGGTCTTGCAGGCGTCCCCAGCTGTGCCATGGGGGTGGGGTGCTGTCCTCCAAGCCTTCGGGAGGAGTGAACAGATGCCCCGAAGAAGCACTGTCACGGGCCGGCAGGCGTGGCGTGCCCGGCCGGCGTTTATTACGCCCGTCGGTGCGAATGTCAGCATCCGTCAGGGCTGTGTGCTGAGCTGGGTGCTGCTGTATTGGGCAGGTGGGGCCTCACCCTAAGACTGGGACCTTCCTGTCATCTCCTGCCTGCCCCTTCCACTGGGCGGGAGTGAAAGCTCAGCTTTGACCTCAAAACTCGGGAACCTTCTGCCAGCAAAAGAAGGGTAATAATGGTGATGTCATTCCCGCAATGATGGTGCCAGGTGACAGGCTCTGTGTCAGGTGTTTTACCTGCAGGAGGCCCCTCCCTGGACCTTCACAGAGACATACACTGTCTCTGTCTTGCAGAACAGGAGACACGGGACCCAGTCACCTCCCCTGGGGTACACAGCCAGGCGACTGGCGGTGAGCCCACCTCCACAGCATGCCTCTTAGCCAGTGGATCTGTGCTTCCAACTCTCGCGTCAGCAGGCCCTGGCTTGGGGCTGAACCACCCTTTCCTGAGGCTGCCCAGCCTGCAGGCCCCGTGGCCGCCCTCTGGGAACACAGCCCTACAGGTCCAGGATCCCTCAGAATGTTGACTGAGGAGGGCGTCCAGGCCAATTTCAGTGGCATTTCCAATGAGACTAAAGGTGCCCTTTGCGTCCTCAGGTCAAGTTTTGAGGAGACCGAAGCCCTTGTGAATGCCGGGGCGAAGATCCTCCATCCGGTCGCAAGAGGGCTGGCCCCCAACCAAGAGCCACACTTGCAGATGCCAGAGAAATCCACCCAGAAAGAGCTGGAGGCCATGGCCTTGGGCGCCACCTCAGATGCCATTGAAATTGTAAGTGGGGTCAGAGGGGCCTGAGGTCACTGGGGCTGAGGTCACTGTGCCAACTGGGTCCCATCACCAAGGGGGCCAGGCCTTCAGAGCAACACTCACCTGGCACCTGGTGTAGGCCCCACCCATCGCCCCAACCACAGAAACCCGCCGAGGAGACCCCACCGGAAGTTGTGGAATCACCTACAGGCTTTATTTGCCTTCAGGGTTACTTACTTCCCACCTTTAGCCCCTTCAGGCTGGGCAGTTGCTTTGGGATTGTCATCCGTGGGTACCTGCTTCTCAGGGGACACTCTCCTTGGTGGGACAGTGGCTTTCCTGGTGGTGGGAAGTCCCTCCTGTCTATAGACCAGGACATAGCTCTTTCCTCAGGGCACATGGACCTGGGCTGAAGGCCTCACACACAGACATACACACACACCCTGCCTCAACCCCTGTACACTTAAAATAGACCATCCTTCTAGGTGAATTTTATTTTTATTTCTTTTACCTCCCTCCTAGCAACCCCCAGAGGGGTTTAAGGCCATTGATTTAGTTTATTTTTTGTTCCATAATAGTAAACCATGTATCGCATGCATTGAATATTTACTGAGCACCTACTATGTGTCTTGCGGTTGGCTACTGGGAAAATAAGATTAAACAAAAAGAGAGTCTGGACGTGATTCAGACAATCTCGCAAAAATATCCTGACGCCTGGTTTGCCTTCTACAAAGCTGGCTTCTGATTGTGAAGTCTTTCTGATCCATCAGGAGACGCTTTCTCCTTTGAAATCATCTTTCTATGACCTTTGCCAAAACCTTATTTTCTTTGATATCTATCCTGGGAAGAATTTTCTTGATGAGTTATGTTATGTTTGGAAAACCCATCAAATGGCTTATCTCCCACCCACCGAGATATTCAAATAAATAATTTCCCTCCCACCGACTGGCTAGGGAATGAGGGTGGCTTGGGGGTGGGGAGGGTGCCTAAGGCTGCTTTTGGGGTGGGGACTGGGCCTGCCACTCTCGAGACTCCGATTGTCAGCACATGGGACTCAGTCCAGAGGAACGGGACAGCGTCAGCCCCCGGCTGACACTCTCTTTAGCCTTAAGGCAGAAATGTCCCCAGATGGATGTGCGGTCCTTGCTTGGAATCGATGTCACTCTGCTCTGCTCTGTTTTTCCTCTGTCCCCCTCTGCCGGCCTGCAGACAGCTCCCGAGGGCTCCTTCGCCTCTGCCGATGCCCTGCTCAGCAGGCTGGCTCACCCGGCCTCCCTCTGTGGCGCACTTGACTACCTGGAACCCGACTTAGCAGAAAAGAACCCCCCAGTGTTTGCTCAGAAACTGCAGGTTTGTAGCCCACGCGTGACCTTTGGGGAGTTTGTCAAAACCTCAGTAGCGAATGAACCTCTGAACCCCAGACGCAGTGAGGAAAGGTTTAATAAAAAGTTGTGGAGAATGTTCCAAACAAAACATCTGCCCCTCAGGGACTGATGTATGTGGCGTCCTTTACCCAAGTCGCCCAAATGGTCAAGATTGTGCGATTGCGTAGGGAGCAGACCATTTGTACTGCAATTTAGAAACCGGGCCCGGTTGCTTTTCAGACGTTTTGAAAGCCCCCGGTGCAGCGCCTGTGATTCATTCACAGAACCACGGGTATTAGATCACCGTGGAACCCGGCTATTTATATGCACGAGGCTCTTAGACTCCCATCGAGATAACATCTGGACTCGGTCTTGCATCTGGAGCCGAGACAATGACCTCGTCTGTGCTTTAAATTTGACGACTTAATTTGATATCCTCTCGAACCCGGCCATTCAGAGCAAACCTAGAGAGACTGTTAACAGTCGTCTGGGAGATACAAATCCAGCTGAGGGAATTGTTAGCCGACTTTACATTAAACGAGCAGAAGGAAAGAAACCAAAGGAAACAGTGCGGTAGAATTTTTTATTTTGTTTTTTCATATTCTAATGCATAATATTCCTGATAGACATCCCAAAGGGCGATTTAAAAAAAAAAGGAAATTAAACACTTATTTCATGATCTGCTGAGGTGTTAACTGTGACAGAGATCTGAGCGTGTTTCCCCGAGTGCCTGTCGTGACACGTCCCCCGGCGCTTTCCTTCCTCCACTGCGCGCACGTTTACACCCCGTGGGGTGCGCTCCCCTGGCTCACGCCCGCCCCTCTGGCAGGAGGAGCTAGAGTTTGCCGTCATGCGGATAGAAGCCCTGAAGCTGGCCAGGCAGATCGCCCTGGCTTCCCGCGGCCGCCAGGACGCCAAGGTACTGGTTTGCCGCTGCCTCTTGAGAGTGGTGTGTGGTCCCGACGCTTCTTTGCTAACCATCGGCCAGGCGGGCATTGCTGATGTTCCACAAAGTATAATTTTCCAGAAGGCTAAAGCGTAACTCGTGTGGATCCACACTGAGCACTGTCTGAGGCCTGACTTGGTAGCGAGGGCGGAGCCGGCTGAGAGGAGGAAGTTGGGAGAAACAATGTATCAGGAGGGCTGGGCTGCGATGGCGTCAGATGTCAGGCGCTTGATACTAGCTAACCAGTCACCGCCTTGGAGGTGTTTTATTGTTTCTAAAATTTGCTTCTCTGCTGAACAAAAATAATTGGCAGCTTTTCTGTTTTCTACAAGTTTGTATCTGTGCTGAGACTGGACCCTAATCAATGGTAAAAATAATAAGCAAAACTGAGACCTTCCTGAGACGCCCGGTGACCCCTGGACCAGGGTCACAGGATCACAGAAAAGCAACCCTTTTCTGTAAAGGGCGGACAATAAATATTTCAGGCTGTAGGGGCCATCTGGTCTCTGTAAGTGCCGCTCAGTTCTGCCACCTTCACTCAGAAGCAGCCACGGACAATAAATACATTGATGAATGGGTGTGGCCATGTCCCAGTAAAACCCTTTGTACAAAGAAGGGCAGCCGGCCGTTGGCCCGCACTCTGCAGTTTGCCAAGCCCTGCTCTGGAGTGGTGCATGATACTGGCAGGACATGCAGGAATCTTTGCCTGGCTTCTAAGTTTGGCATATTTTTTTCTAACACTTCGAATGAGTTGCTGATGACATGTGAAAGGGTGTGTGGCCCTGTGAGGTGCAGCCCACCCTGAGCTGGGCAGCCCCGTGGACCTGGTGTGTGAGACCAGGGCTGGACCCCAGAGTGCTCAGTGGCCCTGAACAACTGGGTGAGCCTCTCTGAGCCTCAGTTTCTCCACCTGTGAGATGAGGCTAACAACAGTGAGTTTGCAGATTGCTGTGAGGACTGCAGAGGACGTGTGGAGAGAGCACTGTGCCCGCACACAGTAGGTGTGTAGTAAATGAATGTTGCTGTTAGCTAACCTTCACTGTGCTTCTGCTACCTTGTGAGACGCCCACAGCATCTCCTCGGTAGGCGGGTCCAGGCCCCATGTTACAGATGGGGAGATGGGGCCACGGAACCAGCCAAGGCCTGACTGGCTCATTGGCCTGGTGGGACCTAGAGCTTGAATCTCCAGGTGGAGCCCTGGCACATCCGGCTCCAGTAACAGCTCCCCTGGCAGAGGAGCCAGTGGGCCAGGGGTTTCTCCCGCCCCTCATCCTTGGCACAGGATCAGGAGTTCGTCTGCTGCTCCTGCCCTGAGCCCCCACACGTGGTTTCCCTGGATCTAGGGTAAGGGGGCACAGAGACGCCTCAGTGAATGAAGGTGGTCACACGAGGGGTCCCAGACTGGGCACATTGGGATGTAGGGCAGAGGCAAGGATATAAATATAGATTGCTGATGTTCTTTTTCTTACTGGCAACCCATAAACTTGGTTGGTTTCCATGACAATGCAATCTTTAGAAAGCAGTAAGGATTTTTTCCCCATTAGGTTTATTTCCTGATATCCTCGGGCAGCGGCTTACAGGCAGGATGAATGTTTCAAGTCTGCCCACTGCAAATATGGTATATTCTTATCCCAAAGTTTGAGGCAGAGTTGGGATGTTCTAATAAGTAGTTCAGATTGAGTGACAAATGTTCAGGGTGCCTGGTATCCCCCTCCTTCCTCTGAGACCACATCAGAGATGGCGGCCGACAAACCTTAGCCAGCAGCTGACTTCCATCCGTCACAGCCTGTTCTCAGACTGTGTTATCATGTGAATGTCGTGCTTGTGGGTGGGCGGGGCAGCCCAGCTGCCTCCTGTTTCAGAGGCACACGCCGAGAGACGCAGCCACGGGTGGGATGTCTGGAGGGGAAGGAACGTTTTTTCTGCCGTAGTAACTGGTACCACTTTTGTAGGATGTGTATTATCTAGGGACCTTGCCCAGGTGCCACTCCCTATAGCTGACCCACCCACTGGTGCTCCCGTTGTCTTCATGCACGTACATTCCCGGGGGTTGCTGTTCGTGGATGCTCCGTGGCCCTTCTGCATGGGGAGCTGCTGACACGGGAAGAGAACGGTGGCTGTGGGTCTAGTTTGCTCTTTCCTCTGCCTGAGTATTTCAGCTGCAGGTGGCCTCGCCCGTCTTTTTGGCAGGATGGCCTTAGACTGTGGCTACCATAAAGATGAAACCACTTGAAATGAAAAAGATCCTATTGAGGGGACGACAGGCAACAGGGTGGGGTCTTTTCTGGGAGCGCCTTCCTCATGTTTGCCATTTAGAGTTCGACAGCTGCCCATTATCAGATTCAGATGGGCAGCACTGGGTGAGGCCACTCTCCCACCCAGTCTGGTGCCATGTGGCCAGGACAGTGCCCAGCCTGTGTCCACACTCCACACCCTTGGCCTAGCTCATGCGGTCTCCCTACCTGATCTGGACTCCTGGTCCCCACCCCAGTGCTCCACCCAGCCCGGCTCCTGGGGACAGAGCTTCTGCCCTGGTCCCAGAGTGGCAGCTTCCCCTGAGGCTTGGTGCCCGGGAATTGGCCACAGGAGGACCTCAAGTTCCAGTGAGTGACAGGCCCCCAGCCCCCAACTCCCAGCTGCAAGGCCCAAAGGGCCCCAGGCATGAGGTCTGCAGGTCTGACCAGGTGACAGGGCCCCAGGGACTGAGACTTGAGAGCATGACTGAGGGGTTTGGACATCGGTTCTGCAGGCTCAGGCCCTCGGAGTCGTGGTCATTTCACGTTTTAATTTGTGATTCTAGCAGCTTTTTGGCTCCTGTGAAGCAGGAAGTGGAGGGTTATGTAAGAGAAACAAAGTTTTCTCTAACTGGGATCTTAAAACATCAGTGAGACAAACCTATTAATTTCAAACAGTTCTCGGTTGTAAGAGGAAAGTGGGGGGTGTGCCTTGGATTTCATTACCCTGCAGACACTCTGGTGGTAACCCAAGTGCGATTCTGAGCTCATCTGTCCTTCATTGAAAACACCAGGCGGCCGAGACGAAAAGTGATACTGAGTCGCTGTAGATGTGGAAACCTTGTGCGTTTACTTAGAAAGCTCATTTTATGCATTTTTCATTCCCTCTTTTGTTTCACAAAGGACTTTAGACAGCTCCCAGATCATTAATTCCTGCGATGGTCTTACTCAGTTTCCGCCCAGTGTGATAGAGTGAGTTTTAATTCATTTTCTCTTGCACCACAGAGAGCTGGTTTATTTGGGGTCAGAATTGAATCCCAGTCTGGGAAACCTTTGCCAAGTGGCTCAGCTCCCCAATGTCTTTCATCTCTAGAAGGACCAGGATGAGTTACATGGTCTCTAATGTTCTTTCCATTTTGAAATTTCATTGTTTTATTTTTTCAAAGAATACATCCTTTCACTTAAAAAGTGATAGGAACAGTTAAAAAAATTTTTTTTTTAAATTTTTATTTTAGAGGAAGGGAGAGGGAAAGAGAGAAACATCGATAGGAAACGTCGTCGATCGGCTGCCTCCTGCACGCCCCCTACTGGGGACTGAGCTGCAGCCCCGGCATGTGCCCTGACCGGAGTCGAACCAGTGACCTTTCAGTGCGCCCGATGACGCCCAACCACCTGAGCCACGCCAGCCAGGCAGAAACCGTTTTAACCCTCTTCAGAATTTTGTGCTTGTGAACTTTTTGTGTCTATAAACACAGACACTGTGTCTGGGTATAATTTCCCATTTGGTTCCTGAGAAGTTTCTCTTATAACAAGTAGAACCTTGAGAACAAACAGCAGAGATTAACCCACTGGGGGAAGCTCTGTCCGTGTCCGGCGGCTCTTTCCCGAGAGGTCAGCCTGCTCCTGGGGGCTGTTAACTTGTATTCTGGCCAGACATCCTATGTCAGCTTCTCTAGGGCCGGAGGCTGCAAAGCTCAGGGCGCCCATCTGAGACGGGAGCGCGTCTCTAGGGTCTGGTGGACGGGCCGTGGGCTCCCCTCTCTGACCAGCAGTTGTCATTTGCGTCCCAGATACTCAAGGCCGGGCAGGGGCAGTGAGACCCAAGCAGCAGAAGCTTGCTTCTGGGACAACCTGAACCGCTTGGTTCCTCGTGCATGTGTACAACTAACAGGCCCTCACTCGGGGACCTCCAGTCCTATCCATTAAACTCCGCCCGAGTTTTCCCGGCTCTCAAGTTCATTTTCCAGGAGACTGTGGCAGGGTAAACAAGCTCATTCTGGTGACTGAGAGAAATTCTGCTCAGGGACCTTCAAGGGCACCCCTTCCCGGTGACTGCTGGCTCTTGACCCCACCCGCTGCCATTTGCGGATGAGCCCTGGTCATTCCTTTCCCAGATCTCTGTCTTTCCGCCACACCGTGGTGGCCTGTTCACTGCTCAGTTTCTTCTCATAAATTTCCTCAGGAGGAGGCAGCCCACGTGCCTGCCCGACTGCAGGGAATGAGACTCTGGTAACCACCGTGGAGGTCGGCCTGGCGACCGCGGTGGCGCCAGGAGGTTGATGAATAGGCCTGAGAGCAATGGGTTGGGGTTCCTCGGGCAGTGGAGCTAGACTGACACCCTGGCTGCGCTGGTTGGATGTGCTCCTAACACCGCATTTCACGTGTGTTGGAAATCGCTGAGCATCTTGTGCACAGGGGGGGAGAGGAACCCCAGACCGCTCCTCCCTCTGTCGCAGGAGGCTAGCGACCGTCATCTACAGTCAAACCGGGGTCCGTGTGGCGGTTTGGGAACCACACCACTTGCTGAGGGTCTATCAGCAAATGCGGATACTATCACTGATCCTGTTTTCAGTTTTCTCGTTGACACAAGGGACTGATGGCAGCAAACTCCAACGTGACTCTTACCTCCAACTAGCTTGTGGCCGGTGACGTGGTTTCACAGCCATAGCACCACAGTAGACCTTAAGCTTGGTGTGAATTGTGTCCTTGCAAACGGAGCTAAAAAAAAAAAAAAGCCCCCCCGCAGACTGAAGTGGGGACAGTCTTACAGACATGCTCAGATCCACCCTGACCCTGGACCAGGCTGGGACTCAGCACCGTTCCCGCTGGATTTATTGGATGTGGGGCCGGCTGGAGAAGGACCGATGTGCACACGCTGCACCCAGGTGCCCTGGCGTCTGATGAATGGCCGTGACAGCCCCACGCCGCAGGCCGGGAGTGGGGAAGGCCTCCGCCACTCGCCCCTTTGTCTGCCAGCACCCTGCAACGTGATCGATTTCCATAGATTGTGTCCGCCATCCCCCACTCACCCGCCTTAGCGTTTTCTCAAGCTCTGGACGTTCTCTGTTTCAAAACTACACAACCCATTCACGAGAGAACGAATGCTTTCCTCTGTCATACGATCGATGTTAACTTTTTTTTTTTAATTAAAAACCAATCCGCAGAGAGAAGCTGCTCACCCAGCAGATGTCTCCATCTCCAAAACAGCCCTGTACTCCCGCATCGGGACGGCCGAGGTGGAGAAGCCCTCGGGCCTCCTGTTCCAGCAGCCGGACTTGGACTCCGCCCTGCAGGTTGCCCGAGCTGAGGTACCAGCTTCCTTCTGTCTCAGGCTCGGGGAAATTCTCTGACGTCGGAAATTTTAACTCTCCGTTTATTCAGTACCTTCTTGTCCCGGCCTGTGAGCTGCTGGGATCTGAGTTCTCTCACTGGGGGCTAACCCTTCTCTCTGGCTCTAGATCATAACCAAGGAGAGAGAGGTCTCCGAGTGGAAGGAGAAATACGAGGAGAGCCGGCGGGAGGTGATGGAAATGAGGTCAGTGTGGCGCTCGGGCTCCCGGCACCTGTGGCTCGGTATCGTTGGCAGCTGGTGTGGCCCACAAATGGGGTCTTCCATACAAGTGATCTGTGTCTTTCCTGAGGTTCATATTTTCACAAAAGTGTTTTTACTAGTTTACTATGGTTAAAATATCACGTGCGTGAGTTAAAGGATGCAATAAATACGTGGACGGTGAAAACCCTCCTTCCCTCCCGGCCCCCATTCCACGCCCCTCGGGTGTCCGCTCTGCACCCTTGCTGGTGAATCCTTCTGAGAATCTCCCGTTTCTGATGGCACATGTTCACGTCAGCCAGAGAGGCTCCTTTTTTCTCCAGAAGGGGAGAGTGGAAATGTCCAGTGCAATTTTGTAGCTTAGCATTTATTGGATAATTTTTCTATGTCTCCACCTCATTGTTTATGGCTTAATAGTCCTCATATGGTTATAATGTAATTTCACGAGTCTCCGTGGATAGACATGTAGGCTGTCTCCCGAATTTCCCTTGAATGATTTATTTTCAGTGGCTGCATTTGTAACGGACATGTGGTAGCTATCGTGTTAACACGCATGTCAATACCGTGTCCATAGTGCCCGCCACCTGCCAAGGCTGTGCTTTTGGCCTGAGGCCCACGGCCTCTGTGTCTCCCCCCGGCCCTCAGAAGGGGTGGGCAGCTCTGTTGGACAGCAGGAGGCTAAGGGAGACAAGGTGACTTTCCCCAGGTCCCGGAGCTTCTAGTTAGAAGAACGTGAACTTCAGTCCACCTTCCCTTTCCTTTCTCCGTTTCTCATCTTCTTAGAGACTAAGAAACCATCTCTGGGGCCAGAACTTACCCCTGGGCTGTGGTTTTTGCAGCTACTTTGGACAGTGTAGGTGAAACCCCAAGTCTTTTTCCAGAGGTTCCTTCTGAAGGTTGACTTGCGGGGCGGGGCTCCTACCCTCCTGGGCCCTCCCACTGGGGGCAGCAGGGCGGTATCTTCCAAGCACGGCTCTTAGTGCGTCTTTGTAGCTTCTGTTGATCGTGGCTCCAAGAAGTGCTGCTTCCCTCCCCCCCCCACACGCGTGAGTTAGAAGTGGCCGTGGGCCTCCAGGAGCTTCCAGTCGTGCACTGTGAGATGCTGGAAGAAGATTCAGATAAAATGACATGGAGTTCCAAGGAGAAATCAGGGAAGGCTTTCTGGAAGAGGAAGCATTTGCATTGGGCCTTGAGGAACAGACAGACAGGGAGAGGTGGAAGGAGAGAGGAGACGTGAACAGCACAGGCAAGGGCATGGAGGCGGGAAAGCCCAGAGCAAACAGGAAACCATTCGTTCTCGTTGAGCCACGGTGTTCATGGGGTGGCGAGGGAGGAGGGGAGAGTGACGTGGGAGACCGGGCCCAGGCTGCAGACGGCTGTGATTGTCGGGCTAAAGGTTTGGCCGTGTGTTTTTTCTTCGTGGGGAGTGGGGAGGCCTGGACGGTTTTGCACAGGGAGAGGTGTGACCAGCGTCATGCCTGAGGAAAGTGAGCCCGTGTGGGTGTGCGAGGAGAAGGCCGAGGGCGGAGGCCGCCCTGGGCATGTGAGCCAGCGGTGACAAACGAGACGCGTCTACCGTACCCTGGTCAGGCTGCCAACGTCCAGCACGTGGCCCCGGGTGAAATTACAAACCGTTTGTTGTCATGGCTCTGACACGTTTTCACTTCTCTTACAGGAAAATAGTGGCCGAGTATGAGAAGACCATCGCTCAGATGATAGGTGGGTGTCCTGCCCAGGAGGGGCTCAGGCCCACCCGGAGGTTTCCACATTACTGGGGGGGGGGCGGTTGAAGACAGAGACTCAGGTGTGCTCCTCTCACACCCCTAGAGCGCGAGGTCCTCCAGGAAGGGCTCAGGGTCCCTGGCTGTGCCCCGGGGCAGAGTCCGGGGGCCTCCTGGAAACTCCTGCTAGAATGTCCTTCACTGCTACGCATGCCTGTGGGGAACCTTGGCGGTCACCGCAGTGGCCGTTGTTTGACCCAGCCAGGACTGCCCACCTACCGGGGAAACAGATGTGGGTTGGCTCCTGGGATGCTTAGGGGCATTTTGCTCATGGGAGAGGCTGGGATTCAAATCCCTAAACCCTGTCGTAGTTTAGGCTCAAGTGACAAAATAGGCCACTCAGCCTTCACGCACTGCCTAGGGCAGGAGGGCTGAGCTGTGGCCGCCCCGCTTCCCTGGTGACGTGGCAGGACACTGTCATCCGATCACAGCGCTTTCTCACGGGGCGTGGGCGCTGCCCCAGAATCCATCTCAACACAGCCTCCCGCAGGCGGTGCTGACAGATCGCTGCGGCTGGGAGAAAACGGCCTCGGGTTACCCATTTTCCACAGCTAGGCCTTTTTTCAGTTAATGGATAAACCTCTTGCCGAAGTTCCGAGCCCAAGGTTTTACCCTAATGACCACTTTTCAAAAATGATGTTATGACCCTAGGGGGGTAGTTTTTTGTTTATCTATTTATTTGTTTGCTTAGGTCCATGATACCAGTTTTTAAAAAATCTTTTCCTCCTACGCTGGCTAGTGTGGCTCAGTGGTTAAGAGGGTCGGGCCCGCGCACCGAAGGGTCACAGGTTTGATTCACCGTCCAGGGCACGTACCTGGGTTGCAGGTTCATTCCCTGGCCCTGGTCGGGGTGTGTGTGGAAAGCAACCAGTCGATGTGTCTCTCTTACATGGACGTTTCGCTCTCTCTCCCCTCCCTCTCTCCCTTCCACACTCTCTCAAAATCGATGGAAAAAATATCAATATCCTCAGGTGTGAACTAACAAAATAGTAATAATAACAATTTAAAAAAATCTTTTCCTCCTAAGCACATATGGGGTAAAAACCCCAACTCTCCGCAGACCACAGCCCCTGTGCCCGAGCGGGACTCTGAGCTGGCGATGAGCCCCTCTCCCAAACGTTTGGGTACGTGTCACGTGACACCTCCCGCTGTCCCGGGATAACCGTGAGAGTGGCCTTGGGGATGACAAAGAGGCTGACAGTGGAGCGCTTTCCCTTCAAAGGGGCTTTACCTTTGATTGATTATGATAAAGGCCGTTCCTCCCAGAGCTCGGGGGCAGCCCGTTCGTGTGGTTCTGAACATCAGCCCCCGGGTGTCTGCTTTCTATCAGATGAAGCCCCTTTATTAAACTGGTAGAAGGAGTCATGGATACGTATGGATGGGATAAAAGACAAGACTCTTGGCACTGAAACTGCTGCTGAAAGCTCCAGGATGAAGGATTTATGTTCCAATATCCAGCGGTTGGCCAGCGGAGCACAGCCTCCAGGCCTCCGGGAGTCTCGGGATGTGAAAACGCCACTCAGCCCGACGTTGGCTCATCTGGAAACATCCTTCTGTGTCCCAGAGTTGTACGTTTTTATTTTCGCTCTTGGTGGTGACGTTGAGGCCAATGTTGAGATGGGGGTGAAAGGCCAGGAGCCTTGGCTGCTGGGAGCAGGCCGCCCAGAGCCACCTTCTATTGCTCGGCTGGCGATTTTTTTTTTAAAAAATGTTTTATCGATTTTAGAGAGAGGGAAAGGGAGAGAAACATTGATATGAGAGAGAAACGTCAGTTGGCTGCCTCCTGCACCCCCCTACCGGGGACCGAGCCTGCAGCCCAGGTACGTGCCCTTGACTGCACCCGCTGACGCTCTAACCACGGAGCCTGCGGCCAGGGCTTGGCTGGCAATTTATTTTGTTTTTTGTTGTTTTTTTTTTAATATATCTTTATTGATTTCAGAGAGAGGAAAGGAGAGGGAGAGAGAGAGACAGAAACATCAATGATGAGAGAGTCATTGATCTGCTGCAGCCCGCAGCCCGGGCATGTGCCCTGACCGGGAATCGAACCCTGATCACCGGGATCCTAGGCCGATGCTCAACCGCTGAGCCACGCCCGGCTGGGCGGCTGGCAATTTAAATTCAAGACAGCCCCTACTGAAAACCAAAAGAGCGAGAGCCTGTCTAGTGGTGTCCGTAGCCTCTTGAAGCTAAGGCCAGTTTCCACCGCCTGCACTTCCCTTCCTGGCTCCGGCCTGGCTCCGGGGCTCGGTGTGGCCATCCAATCCTGCACGTCGCGTGATCCCTGCCCTGCCAGCGTTGCCCCTTCTCATCACATGTTCCCAAGAGAGTGCCCTAGGTTCAGAGATGGAGCTTTCAGACCTCAGAACAGAGGGACCCCTGCTTTCTGCATCGCGGGTCGTGGCAATCTTTTTTTTTTCTGCTTTCCTAACAACTGCCCTGATGATCTGTTTTGCTTCCGTTTTCCGTTGCTTCTTGCCCTTTGCTTGCAAAACAAACAGGCAAGCCCGGTAAGTAAACGCTGTTCACCTAACTTGACACCTTGCCTGTTGCAACCCTTGTTTGTTAGTTTGCTTTGCTGTTTGTGTGACTTTTGCTTTTGTGTATTAGCTGCGTTCCCCCCCTCCCCCATGGTTTAATAATGTTCCGCCTGAAAAAGCCAGAAAATCTCCAGGGACGTCATTCTGTTGTTGAGTCTCTTGGGTTTGGGGCTGTGCTGTGGCTGTCACCATTTCCAGATGCCAGCCCCCCGATGGCAGCTGCCCCTGGAGGCGCCCCTGACAGCAGGCAGCCCCTCCCAGGTGACCTGGGCTTGGGGACAGGTCTGCACAGCTCCCTCCCCCAGGAGCTCTAAGCGGGGGCTTCTCTCTTCCCCGCTCTCTGCTGTCACCCAAGTAGACAGGTCCCAGCATGGTCCCTCCCCCACCCGGACCAGTCCTGGGTCAGCACACAGGAGGGAGGGCACCCTGCCGCCAGGGGCTGTGTTATGTCCGTGGTCAGGAAGCCATTCCCATAAGTGGGAAGCAGGTGGTTTTCTAGGTGTTCAGGCGAATGTTAGTTTGTGACGGCCCAGAGACGCTGGGCCGAGAACGGAGCGGTCCTCTCGCCAGCATCAGCTGCTCTAAACTGGGCCAGAATTTCATTCTTTGGTGCCTAACTGAGAAACTCATGCAGAAAGAAATAGCTCCGAGGGATGTTTCAAGGGTGAAGACGCCCTTTTCCTCACCGGCGACCATCTCCCTGTCCTGACCATGCTCAGGAGGGCCTGTCCCTCACAGCCCAGGCTGCGGGGCCGTTACTCTTGCCCCACACAGAATCCAGTAGCGGCGTTTTCTTCTTCACCTGTGGGTCTGTTTGCCGTCAACAACCTGGGGTCTCCACTGTAGACTTTTCCCGTCAGGTCAAAGAACGGTGGCTAACGGCCACCCCATCTGATACTGCAGAGTCCCGGCCTGGGATGCAGGGGCCCTGCGGCTAGTTCCTTAGGGCCTGGGTGGGCTCGGGGGACGGTCTCTGCAGAGTCGGAGCTGCCCACAGGTTAGGCTGCGGCCTCGCTGCCCGAGCCCAGGCCCAGGCTCCGTGGGCTCCATGGTTCTGTGCCCGTCTCTCCTGCCAGAGGACGAGCAGAGGGAGAAGTCCGTCTCCCACCAGACGGTCCAGCAGCTGGTCCTGGAGAAGGAACAGGCCCTGGCCGACCTGAACTCCGTGGAGAAGTCTCTGGCCGACCTCTTCCGGAGATACGAGAAAATGAAGGAGGTGCTGGAGGGCTTCCGGAAGGTGCGTTTGCACT